CCCCCTCCTTAGGCAAACCATGGCTCCCCGCCGCCGGCCACCCTCTATGTTGGCAAAAGCTCGACTTCCGGCAACTCGACCTCCTTCCATGGAGCCATTTTTCAAAAAGCTTCACCCTTCAGTACCATCTCCCATACTTCTCCTTCACACACTTCTTAAAATTTACAACAATCCGAAGCTGCAAATCTGTAACAGAGCTCAGATTTCCCCTGAAATTCACTTCCGTCGATGATCTCATATTAGCATCCAATGAGTAAGTATATATGCAGCTACCAGCAATGGATATATATATATAGTCTTGCGATCATAACTGTATTAATGTTTCAGGTGCCCGAAATTAAAGCACGTTGCTTTGCCAGTAATGTCACGAACTGAAGAAGTTCAGATTCCTCAACTTGTGCGAAGGTGGAATGATCTAGAGAGGTTGGAGATGGAATCAAAGCCTGCTAATTTTGTTGATTTGGTGAAGAATATAAGCTTGAGTTGCAGAAAATTTTGTTGGCTGATGGTTTCAGGATCTGTGAGAGGAGAAGATGCGTTAGCCATTGTTAGATATCTGCCGAAGCTGAAGAAATTGGAGCTGAAAAACTCGTATTTGGCTAAGAAGGAGTTGATGACTCTAGTGAATGGTTGCAGGGAGTTGGAGATATTGAATTTGAAGGATTGTGTTGGATTTGATGGAGAAGATGAAGAGATAAATGGCAAAGTTAGTCACATTAAAGAGTTCAGAAAGGAGGGGTGCAGACTGTATTATGAGTATGATGAGTATGAGTTTTGTTTATATGATTATGTTCTTTGATCTAAGTTGTAAGGGGGAACATGACAATGTTTTTGTGCAGATTGATGAGAACCGGGTTTGTCTCGGTTGTGTGAATAGGGTTGTCAATTTGGCTCGTTGTTCGTGAACAACTCGTGTTCGACTCGTTAAGCAGCTCGTATTCGGCTCGTTCGTTAAGCCAAACGAGCCGAACACGAACAAATTTTTAAGCTTGAAATGTAACATGTGGCAATGTGCTTAGTGTCTTCTTTTGTATAGATTTGATCCAGGTTCGAATCCCACACTTTACATCTATTTTTCTCAATTTTTGTTTAACGAGTCAATTTCGAGCCAAACACGAACACAAATATTTAAATCGAGCCGAACACGAACACACTGTTCACGAGCCGATTTAAAAAAAAAAAAATGATATAATTTTTTATATAACAATATACATGTGGCAATGTGCTTAGTGTCTTCTTTTGTATAGATTTGATCCAGGTTCGAATCCCACACTTTACATCTATTTTTCTCAATTTTTGTTTAACGAGTCAATTTCGAGCCAAACACGAACACAAACACGAACACAATATTTAAATCGAGCCGAACACGAACACACTGTTCACGAGCCGATTTCGAAGACGAGCTATTTCGAACAAGCCGAACACGAGCCAAGCCTGAGCTCACTCAAGCTCGGCTTGTTTACAGCCCTATGTGTGAAGACTTTGGATTTTATGTTTTTTCAGGGAAATATTATATTATGGATGAAACTCTCTTTTTTTTTTGCTTTTTAGTAAGTTTAGGTTTTCGTTTAAAAATGTCACATTTATAAATAATATTAAATAAATATTATTTAGATTTTTTTTTGTTTGAAAATTAAGGAAAAATTAGAAATAGAAAAGAGGGAATGGTAGAAGTGCGCTTTCATTAAATTTGCTATGAGATATATTGAATATTTATGAAAATCATTTCTAGAGATTTGAATCAAAATTTATGAACAGCCTACAAAATCAAGAAATTACAAAATATACAAAGAATGTCGAGATTTAATGTGGAAAAATCTGAGAACTAGAAAAAACATTTAAGGCAAGCAAGCCAAGAAATCCACTATAAAAATTTAAGAGAATTAAATAAAGTATACTGCACACAAGCATCTCCAAAATTTGAAATAGTTCAAGGCGCTCTTTCTCCTCTCCTTAACAAAAGAAAAGTTGAAATCTCATACAATTCAATCGGTGAAATGGAGCATTTAAGGGAAGAATTGCTGGAATTCCATTCCGGGGTTGAGGCACCGTGATAGGGCGCTCCAATGGAGGCTACAATGTTCCCCTTCGAGTGCTGCATGTCGCGCTCTCAAGTTCTTGAACTTGGATTGGACATTGCAATGTTGCTGGTCTCAGGGCTGGGGCGCTGTAGTTGAGCGCTGCGCAACACTACCCTCTAAGCATTGAAATGTCATGCTCTTTGATTCTAAAACTCGTATCGTGTGCAATGTCACCGTCTTCTAAGTGCTGAGATGTCTACGGTAAAAAACAATTTCAAGGGCAGCGCTCCCAAACCAAAAGTAGGGGGAGCACCCCATTGTACCCTCAACAAATTCATCGTCAAGCTTGATCGGTGAAACTCTCAAACTTTGAGCGAACAATCGTCAACACCATCAGACTCCAAATAATAATAAGAAAAAAAATGTCTTTTGTGTGCATCACACAATAAATAAGGGATATTTACACACGTAGGACACAATTCATATGTATTTACCTATCTTAAACCATAACTTTCATATATTTAGATACATAGCACTTCAATGTTTTAAACCTATGCATGAATATTTTATAGATGTCATATATAATATAATTAGTCAATCAACATCTGAAATGAAAAGGAAATGTGGTGGTGGCTCATTAGTATAGAAAACGAAATAAATTGTCTCAAGTCTCCAGCCAAAATAAATAAATAAATAAATAGGGCATTTACATGTATACCAAATAATTCTCATGTATTTACATATCTAACACCAAAATATTCATATTTACATGATACGCCAATAACAAATTTTCATCATCTTGCACGAATCTCAAGGCAACCTTTTGAGCAAGAAATATTCAAACTTCAATTAAAAGCCATCCAGAGCCCCGATTTCAGCAAACTTATAGTCAAACTGACCGACTCGATAAGACAGACCTAATGATATCAAATTTAGTCCAATCCGAGTCAAATCAAGCCCAGATCAAGTGATTAACTCATTTTTGGAAGATTTTCGAACATATTTGAAAAATCAAACGAATGTTGAATTCAGTGAGTTCATACTCGAATCGAGCGTCTCGACAAGGTGAATCCAACAAGCCCAAGATTGCTCAATTTCGACATCGTTAAGGCACTCAAATGTCTTTCAAACACCATCCGATCAATATAAGCTCTATGGACCGTCCGATCAAAATGGTTCATATTCCTGCATTAATTGCATCCATAACACTATAAATAGAGTCTCACCCCTCACTTGAGAGCGAGAGGCTGGAGAGAGAACTTGATGCTTTGAGAAGAAGCTCAACTCCAACATTATCACTGTCATCGTCTACCGTCGGCGACCACCCCCAACCTCTGCACTCTGTCGACCGCCGTCGACCACTATCGACCACCACCATTCACCACTAATCTTCGTCGACCACCGCCGACCGTCATCAACTACCGTCGACCACCGCCACCGACCGTCATGGATAGTCGTCAACCACCGTCGATTACCGTCGACCACTGCTGACTAAACGCCGTCAGTCGACGTTGTAGCTTGGAAAACTAGTAACCCTTTCCCGTTTGTGGGACAAGGGGTCTCTGTAATCATCAACCTATAGTGGATTTTTGCAACTATTCCCGACCCCGTTGTTTTTTCTCTTTTCAGGTTTTCCACATAAAAATTTCTGGTGTCATCATAGATTGTTTCTCTTTTTATCTGGGTGTGTGTTGAATCATCGTGCAACACTAAGACGATAATTCATTACTCTACCGCCGCAAATTTTTCAGCACGCATCAACATGCATGTCACTCAAATTTGTCACATCAAATAAAAAAAATACCACCATCATTATCTTTTAAAATGTGAAGTACATATTTTCATGCATAAATTTATGACATCATTATATTATAAATATAAATATCAAATTTTAGAAATATATTTAATATTTAAATATATAAAAATCATGCGATGCTTATGTAAATTTTCCTAAATAAAATGGGGTCATTAAAACCATCAAACGAATCTTGGCGAAACACTCGTCTCTATAATAATCTGAGAAATTTATCTTTTTTGCACCCATGAATTTAGCTCTGTAAGAAGTTAGTCACGTTCTTCTGTTTCGGTCAAAGTCAATTTGGTTGCCCGTGTACATTTATCACTTAGTACATCAAGTGGGTTCGTAGCTTGCAGCTCACTTTGACATAATGGTTGTGTGTTTTAATTATGATGATTGGTGTGTGCTAGAAGATTTGTAATGATCGAGTAATAGATTATCATCTTACTATTATTCATGTACAGTTATCACTTTAATATATTGGTCGTAATAAAATTTTCATTTTTATTTTTGAAAAAATTTATATATTCCACACAATTTTTATATATTTACATTTATAACATTTAACTTTCGTATTTACATTTATAAAAATTTATGTATTTAATTTTTTAAAATAGGTGATAGTAATATTTTTTTCGTTATAAGTCGATATGTAAATATGTATAAACGGTGGGATATGTATATGTATATAATTGCTCGTTGATAATAAAGGATAAATAGGGCAATATAATTTTAAATATATAAAAAGACATTTACATATGTATCACCTATTTTCAATGTATTTGCAGATCCAACCCCTAAACTCTAATACCACCCATATCTTTCATATCACATCTAAAAATCATATTTTAAGTTTTTTTTTTTTTCTAAGTAAAATTCTTTTTATGCATCAATAAGATGATATATAGGTAAATACCTAAAAGTTAAGCGGTATGTACGTAAATCTTCCATATAAGGATGTGCATGAAAAATTATTGCATCAAGAGTTGTGATCAGTGCTTGCCACATGTAAAGGCATGTCCACTCATGCATTAAATTAATTTTTTTAACTAAGGTGAATCTGTCTGTACAGACAACAGACTCTGATTGGATTTCTAATATAATAATTTCTTGTACATGTATCTAAATCAAACAATGAGAACAAAATAACTTCTAATAATTAATAAAATCGAATCTCATCTTAATATTATTATTACTTTTAGTTATCAATTTGTATAAATGTCAAAGTTTAAATTAATTGCAATTTATAATACAAATAATAATAAATATTTTTTTAGCAAATTTAACCGTGACATTTACGATCCGTTTGGGGTAGCTTATGTGGTGCGGCGACATTTTGAAAACGCAACTGACCAGTTTGGGTAAATTACGTTTTGGCAACTTATGCATTTTCAAAACCTTGAAAACAGCGTTTTCACACCGCAACTATCTAGCTGCGTCGGCAGCTTTCTGTCAATGGTCTGACTTTTCCAAAAAAATAAAAATTTGTAATAGTCCTCGCACCTAGCTTATCACAGATTATTAATTAAGTTGTAGCTGCCCCAAACAGACCCCAATTGTAATTTATAATACAAATAATAAAACCGTGACATTTTAATAGAAGTTTCGTGCTTGCGTACCAAAATGGTTTCAATTAACCGATTTTGAATTTGAAGTTTGAAAGTCGAAAGTGGAAATAATTTTTTTTTTACAAATTGAATAATTATATTTTGTTTGTTAGCAAAAAAGAAATTCAGAGATTGGAGATTATGAATCAAATTATATATTAAGATTTACAAACAGTATTTGTCTAAATTTAAGTATTTATTTGTATGATATTTTAATATCATAATTCCAATGAACTAAGATTTTTAAAGAGTATATTTTATTTTTGAGAAGAGTTTGTTTGGTCGTATTTTGGTATTTTGATGTGATACTATAAATATAGGTTTCATGTATAGAAAAGAGTTTTTTGTCTGCACGTCCGGAAGACCAACCCAGACCGCTAAGTTGCCCGTCCATTCAATTTATTATAGTATATAAATAAATAGAATGATAAATTATAAGATAAATAAAAAAGCCCGGTTAGATATAAAATCTAAAATATTAAATTTTAAGTACTTTAAATACTTTATACGAAAAAATTTTAGATTTTAATATAGTTTGGCCATATTTTATATTATATTTTTTTCAAACAAGGACTATCATGAGTTGAGGCCTAACTTGAGCCTAAGGTTATAAACGAGTCGAGCTTGAGCAAGCTCGGGCTTGACTCACTTTCGGCTTGTTCAATATTAGTTGTTCGAAATTGCTAGTGAACAATGTGTTTGTGTATAACTTGAGTGTATGACTCAATTTACAAATTTTTGTTCATGTGCGGCTTGTTTTCTATGTGAAACTGCTCAATAAGAAAAAATAGATGTACAACGAGCCGAACAAGATCAAAGAAATTATTATTCGTGTTCAACTTATTTGTAATTCTAGCTTTAGAAAATTGTTTGTGTTCCACTAATTTACTTAACGAGTCGAACATGAGATGTTCATGAACAATGAGTTTTTTTTCAACCCAACTAGAGCTTGACTTGTTAGCTCATCGAGCTCAAGTCTTCTTATTTATAGAGCCGAGCAGAAGTGGGCTAAAAAATCTGTTTAGGTAAGTTATACCCCTAGTTTTACCCTAGTTTTCACATGAGAGACCAATATTAATTTGAGTGCCGGCCAACATATATTTAGTTAGAAATTGCGATAAATTCATTCAAAGAAAAAAAATCTGATTAGAAAAATAGGGAATTTAACTATCTAATTCAGGGACGAGCTAGGGCCAGCTTGAATCAATTTTGTGCGGCTTGAAATCCGCTTGTGACTCGTTATACTCAATTTCGAGCTAAGCCGACTCAAAATTGAATCGAGTTCAATATTGCTCGAAATCGAAACAAACTGGCTTAAATTGAGTTAGTTGGTTCCTTTTCAGCTTTAAATCGGGCCTAAATTGGCCCGTGACTAGTTATACTCAATTTTACTTAGCATAATATAAAATTTTTATAAATTTAAAATATTATAACCCTATCTCGAGTAGGAAAACTGATCCAAATCATCGTTTCACAATTTTAGCTCGTAACAAGGCTTGTTTATTCCGATCCTAATCAGAATTCGAATAAATTTTTGAGCGGTTAATGTTGTTAGACAATTAAATTATATATATATATATACTAAAATCGATTTTTATATAAGAAAATAATATACATTAGCCATGCATTTAAAATTCAATCTAATTGCAAGCTCAGCTTTTACTTCATGTATGAAAAATGAAAGTATCACATTTGCAAATTACCCAATTTTACAAAAATTTTATTCCTATTTACAAAACAATCCTATGGGCTACATAATTAATTTTTACAAGCAAAATTCTCAGCTTCGAAATAAAGTTCAAACTCCTTATCCAATTTGTCTTCCTACAACAGTTCTCTAGGCAGTCAAAGCCAAATCTATAGGTCATGCGGCTTTAGTCAGAGAAATGACTTTTCTATTTGGATCCCAGCCATCAACAAAACAAAAATCTCAGTCATAAATTAAAATTACGAATATACCAAACCCATGCATACCATACATAACATTCATATTTCTTCCATGTAATTTAAATATTTCACTTCATATCAAAGATATCATCCTTCTCTCTTTTTATATAAAGCTCATCGTCCTCCCTCACCAAATCCCTCACAGAAACTAAGCATGGATGGCAGAATATCATGGTCAGCAATGGAGGCTGACTGCTTGGTTGAAATCTTCATGAAACTCGGCCTCGACGACCTTATCCTTTCCGTCCCCTTCGTCTGCAAATCATGGCTCGCCGCTGTCTGCCACCCTCTCTGCTGGAAAAAGCTCGACTTCCGGCAACTCGACGTTCTTCCATGGAGCAATTTCTCCAAAACCTTCACTTTGCTCTATTCCCTCCCTTACTTCTCTTTCACACACCTTCTAAAACTAGCCGTTAAGCTAGGCAGGAACTCTGTAACAGAGTTAAGTCTTCCCCTCAAATTCATTTCTTCAGAGGATCTTGAATTCATTTCCAATGAGTAAGTTAACGCAAACAAGAAAAAAAAATGTTTTTTTTTTTCCGATTGAATTGATTCTTATTTTGAAGATATTCTCCACTGTTTAGGTGCCCAAAGCTGAAGTCTGTTGCTCTGCCAATTCTGAGCTCGGATAATGAAATTCTGTTTTCTGAACTTATGCGCAAATGGAAAGATTTGGAGCGGCTGGAGCTGAAATTCAACCCTTCGAATTTTGCAGAATTGTTGAAGAACATTAGCCATTACTGCAACAAGTTTTCTGAGTTAACTGTTTCAGGGAAGATAAGTGGAGAGGATGCCATGGCGATTGTTAGTTTTCTTCCGGAGATTAAAAAATTGAACTTGAGCGGATCTTTTCTGCCCAAAAAAGTGCTGCTGGTTATAGTGGAAGGATGTAAGGAGTTGCAGGAATTGAACGTGAATGGCTGCGTTGGTTTTAAAGGAGATGATTCGGAGATCAGAGCTAAGGTTTCCGCCATTAGAGAATTCAAGGACAAGCACTGCAAACTCTATTTGGAAGATGCTTATGAATGTATTAAATGGGACAAAGGTTTCCGTTTAAACGGATATATTTTATGATTATTGAATGCTGTGCGAATCTCGGTTATCTGATATTTGTAGTTGCATCTAAATTTTTCATATATTTGATCATACTTTATGATGTATATGGAGATTTCTTATTCTTATTTAAACGGCTCTAATTCCCGAACCTAAATGCGTTGAATTTGATTTTATTTAAATTTTCTACAGACATATCGAGATCAAGGATAGCAAAGTGAACCTAATTCTCTGAAATCAGCATTAATTTACAGCGTTGTCATTAACTTTTAGACAGAGATGTCAGATGTATAAGCAATGAGACTCACTATCGTATATGTGGTGTTTGCTTGGCCATCAAAAAAGTCAATTTTGCCATAAAAAAAGTCAATTTTGCCGTGCTTGATTGTGAGTAGGGGTGTAAACGAACCGAACACGAGTGAGCCCAAACTCAGCTCATGTTCAACTTGTTTACATTTCGAGCTCAAAATGTATGTTTGTGTTCGCCTCGTTTGCTTAATGAGCCGAACACGAGCCGTTCACGAACAAAGAGTCATTTTGACAACCCTAATCAGATAGCCATATGATGTTAAGGATTAGGGCAATTATTGTTTATATTAAAACATCATTTGAATTTAATTTAATAAATTTTATTTTATTTTCTTAATTAATACTTATAATTGATTATAAATCTTTATAGTCTTATAGCCAATTAAGTTTTTTAAAAATACTACTCATCAAATATATTAATTGGTTTTTTAAAAATACTATTAATTAAGTTTTTTAAAAATATATTAATTGGTTAGGTATTTCGAACCAAAACGAGCCAAACATGTAATGAACAAATCTTTGTTCGTGCTGTTCGTGTTCGGCTCGTTAACTTAGCGAATGAGCCGAACACGAGATTCTTAGCTAGCCGAACATGAGAAATTCGCGAACAACGAGCCGTTCTGACAGCCCTTATTGTGAGATAAGTAATTGAATTTGTCCTTGTGTACGATTACAAGTGTAGACATTATAATATGAAAAACGGCACTTTATTTTCTTATGTATAGTTTTTCGATGTCATTTATTATCTATAGTTTTTCGATGTCATTTATTTTCTATAGTTTTTCGATGACCAAATGACGGACTATCACATTTTATTTTTATGAGCTGACGCTACAAACCATCTATTATTTGATCAATGAAAACTAATGGTTAAGTGACGGCTATTGGAAAACTGTGGCCTAAAAAACTACAAACTTAACTAAGAGCAACCGATGTTTTTTTTTTTTTTTCCTTTGGCATGAATTTGATGGCTTTTAATCCTTAGTTATTTTACCGAGGGTTAATTGATGGATAACCAATGATTATACTTTTGACATAAATCAAAAGCTTTGACTCATTGGTTTTGTAACTGACAGATAACTAACTGCTAACTTACGGTTATGCTTCTACCCTAAACTTGTGAATTATGGCCATCAGTAAATCGTCGGATGATAAAAGCTGTTGGAAATGTCACCGTTCTTTAGATTATTGACAAACCAAAATTCTATACTCTTTTGATTATTGAAAAATTATAGGTTTATATTTAATCTATATTATTTTCATATTTACTGTCGGCTTATAACCGTCATAAATAGCTTGAATTCTTATAATGTTCAACTAAATCATTATATTCACACTCATAATAATCTCACATCAACAAGGATGTGTATGTCTTCTTTTTTTGTGTGGTTTGGCCAATACGGTCAATAATAAAGCGATTAAGGCTAGAGCGCTGTAATTTTTCATATTCATTTCACTGTTACCCTCAAAGTTGAACTAATTCAAACACTACAATGGCTATGACAACCTTCTTGTCATGTCTACTTGATGTCTTGAGGTCGATTCATCTTCGTCTCTCAGGGAAATAAATCAACCATCATCGATGACGTCCACGACCTCCCTTCCTTGCTAAATCCCCGTCCCCAGGTCAAGCCATTTCCATATCTCTTAAGAGAATATCTTAATGCTCCGCCATAATTTGTTATATCACCAATATCAAGGATACCAGCAATAATAAGATGCCTTCTATGAGGTTGGCGATGGAGGTGCTTTCCTAACTCTTGTTCTCCTTTTTTCCGAACTAATGTCTTTCCGAACTAATGTTAACAGCTAGTAAAAATCGTTTCAGCTAATCATTTATTTTCTTTTGAATATTTTGAATAAAAATTGTGATAAAAATAACAAATTTGAACTTTTATTTATGAAAAAAAAATAAACTTATCAAGAAAAGTGCCCATTACTTCAGCCGAACCATATAATTTTGTTCATATATATACATATGAATAACATTGCAAGCAACATAAAGAACTCCTTCTTCCTCAACAGAAACAAAACATGTGTTGCCAAAGATCATGGTCAGCAATGGACTTGGATTGCTTAGTTGAAATCTTCAGGAGGCTCGGCCTCAGCGACCTCACCCTCACCATCCCCTTCGTATGCAAATCATGGCTTCTCGCTGCCGGCCACCCTCTATGTTGGCAAAAGCTCGACTTCCGGCAACTCGACCTCCTTCCATGGAGCCATTTTTCAAAAAGCTTCACCCTTCAGTACCATCTCCCATACTTCTCCTTCACACACTTCTTAAAATTTACAACAATCCGAAGCTGCAAATCTGTAACAGAGCTCAGATTTCCCCTGAAATTCACTTCCATCGATGATCTCATATTAGCATCCAATGAGTAAGTATATATGCAGCTACCAACAATGGGTATATATATATATACATACATATACAGTCTTGTGATCAGAAGTGTATTAATGTTTCAGGTGCCCGAAATTAAAGCACGTTGCTTTGCCAGTAATGTCACGAACTGAAGAAGTTCAGATTCCTCAACTTGTTCGAAGGTGGAATTATCTAGAGAGGTTGGAGATGGAATCAAAGCCTGCTAATTTTGTTGATTTGGTGAAGAATATAAGCTTGAGTTGCAGAAAATTTTGTTGGCTGATGGTTTCAGGATCTGTGAGAGGAGAAGATGCGTTAGCCATTGTTAGATATCTGCCGAAGCTGAAGAAATTGGAGCTGAAAAACTCGTATTTGGCTAAGAAGGAGTTGATGACTCTAGTGAATGGTTGCAGGGAGTTGGAGATATTGAATTTGAAGGATTGTGTTGGATTTGATGGAGAAGATGAAGAGATAAATGGCAAAGTTAGTCACATTAAACAGTTCAGAAAGGAGGGGTGCAGACTGTATTATGAGTATGATGAGTACGAGTTTTGTTTATATGATTATGCTCTTTGATCTAAGTTGTAAGGGGGAACATGACAATGTTTTTGTGCAGATTGATGAGAACAGGGTTTGTCTCGGTTGTGTGAAGACTTTGGATTTTATGTCTTTTCAGGGAAATATTATATTATGGATGAAACTTTTGTTAGGTATGGCTCATATCTAGGGAGTTGAAGTTTCTTGATGAAGATGTGTGTCTCCTAGTGAAAAGGAATGTCTCTTGGAATAAAGGGGGTTCGGGGGAGCGAGGGCGTGATTGTAATTATCTGTGAGTTTTATCTATAAATAGATGTGTAACCCTATAGGTATGTAACTTCTCTGAGATAGTGAAATCACTGCTCGCTCTCGAGGACGTAAGCAATTCTTTGCCGAACCTCATTAAATCTCTGTGTTATTCTGATTTTGTGTCGATTCCTGTTTTTATTCCACTAATTTCACAACAATTGGTATCAGAGAATTTTTCGAGGAAAAGATCGACGCAGTAAGAAGATTTGAGAAGAAGAGTTCGGCGGCAGAAAGGCAGTTCGCGCGGGACTGTGAACAACAGTTCGTTCGGACAGAAGAGTATCGCGGACGGGCTTCGATGCTTGTGAATCGCGGAAGGAGGAATCGCGACCGGAACAGAACAGTTCGCAGGCGATCCTCGCACGAGTTCGGGACGGGCGAACGAGGCAGAGCGGATCGCAGAACAGGGGAGCAGTTCGTGACAGTTCGCGACAGGGCTGCGGTTTCGGTCGATCGACGCTTGCGACAGAGGCTTGAGTTCGCCGCTTGCGACAGAGGCGCGAGTTCTCCGCGTACGACAGAGGCACGGGTGAAGAGGATTCGGCTCGGAGGCTTCTGCGATTCAGGCGAAGGAGTTGCGTCGGATTCACGAATAGGCTGGGGATTCGCGACGCAAAGGGTTTTGCGGCAGACCAGACCAGTTCGGAATCGGCGGAGTGTTCGGCAGTTCGTCTTCTGTCGCGCAAACAGAGGGTTCACGGCGGGGGGGGGGGGGGGGTGTTGTTCGCGGAATATCGCGACGACTGTTCATAGGTGCTTCGGACGCTGTTTCGCGACAGGAAGCTTCTAGGCAACAGAGGAGTAGTTCGCGCAGGCATTCCAGCATTTCGGACAGGCAGGCCAGGCAGATCTTTTGGGGAAGATCTGGTCAGATCGTTGATATTTCACGGAAGAAGGTCGTGCAGTTTCAGGAAACAGAGGAGTTCGGCAGGTTCAACAATCTGTGGGAAACAGAGGCTGTCCACCGCGAACAGGAGCCTTGTTTTGCGAAAAATCTGAGAAATTCGACCAGTTAAATTTGTCGGTTCATCGCAGAAGATTTTGCGACAGGTGGAGTTCGGCAGGGTGCAGGAGGGGAGCAAACACAATTATTTCGTGAACAAGAGTTTCGTGGAGTTATTCCTCGAACAAGTGCGAAGGGATTCGTGGCTCAGCTCGCGGAAAACAGCAATTGGCCGAGGTACTGGTACGAGCAGGAAAAGTGCTTCGTGGGAAAATTTGATTCACGAATCATAAGAGAATCACGGGATAGTTGTTGCATTTGACAAGGAAAAATTCAGGATTCTTTGAATTTATTTGCGGAGTATTTTCTTTTGTTTTTCGAAGCAAAGAAGGAAAATACGGTGCATGATTAAATTTCAAATAGCAATGTCTGGAGCAAAATTCAAGATAGTGAAGTTCGATGGAACCGGGAACTTTGGATTGTGGCAAACAAGGGTAAAAGATTTGCTGGCACAACAGAGAATTTTGAAGGCTTTGCGGGTTACGAAACCTGATAATATGCTCAGTGGCGCAGCACACTTGTTGGGGGACAGGTGTTGGCATCAATTTTTGGATGTCACGAGTGCCCACAAATTCTATACGTCGCGCCGTGCACGAAATTGGCTCGAATTGA